GTGCAAATATTCACATATGAAGCTCTAAATATAGTTCCTCAATAGAGGTAACTTGTAACAAATGAAAGGGAGGTTGAACCAAGCCTATCCAAATTTGTAAATGAAGAATGAATGTTTCTTGAATATTTTTGGTCTTGGATCGCGTAATAGTTCCTCAATAGGGTTAACTTGTAACAAATGAAATGGAGGTTGAATCGAGCCTATCCAAATTTGTAGATGAAGAAGGAATGTTTGTTGAATATCTTTTTCTTTCGAGTCACTATCGTACCTACGAGGGAGGAGTCGAAAGGTTTAGGTGAGGAATCGAAAACGTCACGAGACTTTAAACTTCTGTGAGTCCTTAGGTAGGAGCAAACCGATGCCAGGATACTTCGTAACAAGCGGGACAGACGCACCTTCAAGGACGAACGAAAGACGGTGGTCTCATCGGCAAAGACAGTCAAACTTTGCGATTAGGATTCACTGGAATTCTCGGGTGAGGAAGACAAAGTAGCGGGTCGCGGGTCGGGTTCTTCGGGTACCTGCGAGCTTGCTTAGCCAACGTGCGACCCACTGTTGCAGCCCGCGCCTTGTAGTCCATGTCAGACATTGACTTTGGGCCGTGTATCCATTTCAGCCCAAGACCAGCGATACTAACCTACATCCAGGAGTTGTGCGCCACCATGGACCTTCTCAGCTTGTCGGCTCAAGTGTTTCGGCTCGGCGGCGTGGCTCGATGGCTCGACTTAATGGCTTGGTATACAAATAATATACCGATTCCTAGGTTTTTGACCTTTATGAGTCGTTTTCGCCCTTATTTTAGGCATCTGAGGTCAGTGTAACTCTTAATTATTAAACACAATCATGATAGGAACTTACCTTGATAGTTAGACATAAGGTTTGTTTGGGTTACATCATGAAAGGACGCTAAGTGTATATTGTGGTGTTATAGGAGGTAGTTAGACGTGGAAGTTAGCTTATTGCGAGTAACTTCGGCCAAGGCCAAAGACGTTGGCATTAGTTATTTATGTATGATGGTGCGTGCCCTATGGCCCTTGTATGCACCATGTGTGTTGTTGATGTATGCTATGTCATATGTTTTCTTGCCATGAAACACCAATGTATGTCATGTTTATGTATGTGATGTTTGTGCCATGATTTGTTACCCTGTATGCATGAGGTTGATTGACATGTCATGATTGTAATGAGAAATTCGCATGCCATGAATGTGATGACTGATGTGTCACGATATGCTTACGTGATGTTTAACCAAGTCATGCTATGTATGCGGCAAGGGGATGAAACGTTGTATGTATAATGCCATGGAGGTAAACTTTAGGGACCTCATGCATGCCATGTGTTATGTACACGGGGTTACTTCCCCACTATGTTAGTGATGGTACGGACGCGTACGTTCGATATTATGCTCGCTATGATATCATACAAGCCCTCCTTTTTCTGTGGCGTCCGGTAATGTATGTCATACATACTTGACCAAGCCAGGCCTAGGGGGTTCGCATGCGAACTCGCCTGGTGGGCCCACGGTTACGTACGTGGGCCATGCGTGGGGAAGTACCATACATTCACCCTGCCTGGATAAAGCAAGGGCCTAAGGCCATGTAAATGAATGGAGACAAGTCACCCTCGCGTTTTCTTTCTTTTGTACTTGTGCCTATTCATGTGTGTTGTATGCGACCTGCATGTGCTTTGAAAGTGTATTGTCTGCCTAACTCCAACAGTGGGGCAAATTATTGGGTATTCTATAAAATACTTAACGTGCTACCTATGTTTTCAGGTAAGGGCAAGGCTCTCATGTACGGTTGACGACGGATGCTGCGAAGACCATGGAAGTCTTAGGGAGGGCTTATAGGGCAATAGATGTTATGTTTGAGATTCTTCGAAAAATAATTGTTGGATTCGTTTCTCCTAGCTAGTTGTTGATTGATTTCCGTATTAGGTTGATCCTTAGTGTTGCGAACTACTGATAATAATGAACGTGTCATCGAAAATTAAGGTTGCTTTGTATGAACTTTTGTATTTTTGTCCTATAAACGTGAGGTGACGTCGCTAGTTAGATTAAAGAAAATTAGGGGTGTTACAATAACAGTTCAACGACTTATTTTCAATCAAATCAGCTTATTTCAGTTCTAAAATTTAATAACATATTTTCATACATACTATAAGCTTGCCTTAATCTAAAGTCTCGAGATTCTACTTACTTGGTATGATTGACACTTTTTCGATATGTTCAGGTCTTCTTAAAACTCCAAGTTTCTCCAAACTCTTGTAATAGGTCCTGTATTAAGAGAAATTATGAATATCACAAAAAAATCGAATAAAAACTACTCACTTAAAAACTAGGAAATTGGTTCGATTTAATCATGATGATCGTTCAAGTTAGAATAGTATTTAGACAACCGACCCATGCGCACATCTATTTGACCATTTTTCCTTTCATTTGGATTTTCGTTTCAAGCTTGATTTCCTTCTACGAGCGTTTTTGGCCTTTGAATCCTTCAAGAATGTTGTATAGCATCTTTCCACGAACCAATAGCAATAAGAATCACCCATTTTCGTGTTCCTTAGGTCAAATCGACCCAATCACTACCAAACATAGGCCCTCATGAACCTTCCTCCCATAGAATCGAGCAAAGTCATACAAGGTAACTTACAAATCCATGAAAAAACTCACACCAATAATCGTGAGTCTAGCAAATCCATTTCAGCAACTGTTTCTTCACGATTTGAATACAAAATTCGGATAAACCAACAAAAAAAAAATGCTAGAATTAGATTACATTTTAAGATAAAAGATCTAAAAGTAAAATTTGAAACCTTGTTTTAAATTGAGTCACTCCACTATCGAACTTAATCAACGTTTGATTATATGACTCACAATCTACCCAAGAATTGCTTGAAAAGACAAAAATGATGCTCAATTTCTAAGGATGATTGTCTTAACTTGAGAACTCAATTTCATTAATAAAAAATCTTCATTTTTAGATACTAACTGATGGGTATTTATAGTCTCTACACAAAATAACTCCCACCCTTCAAATGTTCACTAAAGTAAGTTAGTGGCCATGATTATTAAGTTACTCCTCGCTCCCCTTCAAATGTCCTCTAAAGAAGAAGTTAGGGTCATTTTGACATTACCCCACTTTTACCCACTACAACAACTTAATTAAATAATAAATAAAGTTTTCAAAAAAATTATCAATCAAGTGCTATATATATAGCGTTCCCATCCTTCATTTCAACTGTGCAAATGTTCACTTTTGAAGTCTAAATGGTAATTCGTCAATCAGGTTAGCTTGTAACAAATGAAATAGAGGTTGAATCGAGCCTATCCAAATTTGTAGATGAAGAATGAATGTTTGTTGAATCTTTTTGGCCTTGGATCGCGTAATAGATTTAGTCGGAACATTTGGAAGACGATGATGTTCACGCTAAAAATCTGGCGACATTACCTGTATGGAGAGAAAACCCAAATTTTTACCACCACAAAAGTTTGAAATACTTCTTCACCCAAAAAGAGTTAAATATGAGGCAGAAAAGGTGGTTAGAATTGGTGAAGAATTATGATGTAGATATCTAGTACCACCCTGGAAAAGCAAACGTGGTCGCAGATGCCTTAAGTAGGAAGACGGTCCACTCGTCAGCCCTCATTACTAGGGAAGTAAGGGTACAAAGAGACTTCGAGCGAGCCAACATAGCTGTAGCGACCGAGGGAGTCATAGCACAGCTGGCTCGACTCATGGTACAACCTACGCTTAGGCAGAGAATTATTACCTCCCAACAAGAGGATCCTAACTTACAGAAAGCCCTAGGACAGCTAGACGAAAGTCCGGTAGATGGATTCTCGAAGTCATCGGATGAAGGACTATTGTATCAGGGACGCTTATATGTTCCGACATTAGAAGATTTAAGGAAAGAGATACTAACGGAAGCTCACAACTCGCCATTTGTCATGCATCTAGGAGGTACTAAGATGTACCAAGATTTAAAACAACACTTTTGGTGGAAGAGCATGAAGAGGGATGTGACCGGGTTTGTGAACAAGTGCTTAGTAAGACTACATGGAGTCCTAGTGTCTATAGTGTCGAATCGGGATCCACGCTTTACGTCAGTGTTTTAGCCCGGACTTCAAAAAGTACTGGGTACCTGCCTCGACTTTAGTACCGCATTTCACCCCCAAACATATGGACAAACGGAGCGTTTAAACCAAATTTTAGAGGACATACTACGCGCTTGCGTACTAGATTTTAAGGGAAGTTGGGATTCCAAACTCCACCTGATGGAATTCTCGTATAACAACCGCTTCCAAGCAACTATTGGAATGACACCATTTGAGGCCCTATACGGAAAATGGTATAGGTCCCCACTATGTTGGGACGAAGTAGGAGAGAGAGAATTAGTAGGACTCGAGTTGTTTCGACTCACCAATGAGGCTGTCCAGAAAACTCGAGCGGGGATGCGTACTGCTCAAAGTAGATAGAAAAGCTACGCCGATGTAAGGCGTAAAAGCTCGGAGTTTGAGATTGGGGACCCAGTATTCCTCAAGGTGGCACCTATGAAAGGTGTGTTAAGATTCGAACATAAGGGTAAGTTAAGTCCTAAATTCATTGGACCATTCGAGATCCTAGAGCGAGTTGGTCCAGTAGCGTATAAGTTAGCCCAACCTCCAGCCCTCTTAGGAGTACATGATGTATTTCACGTGTCGATGATGAGGAAGTACATTACGGACCCTATCCACGTAAAAGACTATGAACCACTCAACTCAATGAAGATCTGAGCTACGAGGAAAAACCAGTAAGAATCTTAGCTAGAGAAGTAAAAACCTTACGCAACAGGAGCATTGCGTTCGTTAAGGTACTGTGGCGGAATCACCATAGTGAGGAAGCCATGTGGGAGCGTGAGGACGAAATAAGAGAAAAATACCCCGAGTTGGTACAAGAGTTTTGAGACTTTCGAGGACGAAAGTTCTTTTTAGGGGTAGATAATGTAATGACTCAGGAAAGAAAAAGAAAAAAAAAAAAAACTCAATTGCCTGAAAACTCGGGAGTTTTCCGGCGAGTTTCGCAGAACCCACGTGAAACGACGGCCACACCACACCCAGCCTTCAACCCACGACTCCCAGCACCTATCAGAATACCTGCAAAGGGAGAAAAGAAAGAAAATACGAGAGAGAGATTTCGGATAAACGTCGACGAGTTTCCAGTTTCTCCGACGAGCCCCCAAACCACCCGAAAACCGACACCAAACGATCAATTACCACCACGAGAAGGATCCCTAACGAAAGAAAAATTACTCAAGGTGCGTTTTGTGCTTTTTCGTAAGCATCGTCGTCAATAACCGAGGTCGAAAAATTGGGTTTTCCTAATCGTTCTTAGATCTGTGGTTTTAGGAACTTTTAGGCCACAAAACTCCCAGAAAAGAAAGAAGGACGACAAATAAAGAGGAAAAAGAAGAAAAAGGACCGAAATCGGCAACGGAAACGCCGCGAGAAGGAGAGAGAAAACTCGCCGGAAAATCGGCCGAAGTCGGGTAAGGAAGACGAGATCCACGAATCCGGGTCAACCCGAGAGAGACAGCCCATTCTTTCCCTCGGTCTCTGCCTTCGGCCCAGTCCAACTACAGCAGCCCAAACCTCAAACCAGTCCAGATGCTACGGTTCAGTTAAACCAACCCGAGACCAGACCCATGGTTCAATCGAGCCAGCCTGCAACCCAAACACTTGCAGCCCAGCCTAGTAAGTCGAGGCCCAACGATTAGTCTTGGCCCAGTAGCCTTCCGCAGCCCGTGACTCGGACCACGACCCGAACCAGACTGCGACACGCGCTTCGACCCGACGCTACTGCACGACGTGGCTTGCTCTTATTCTGCCATGTGTCACACAGCGGCGTAGGCGGTCTCTCTGCTCGGCTCGGCGCAAATGCTCGGGCTCCCTCCGGTGACATTCCGGCGGCTCCCAACGGCTGTTCGGCTTGGCTCGCCTGTTTTCAGCCAGATTTCCACTGTTTCGACCCTCCCGGATATGTTTTCAGCCCCGATTAAGGTATCCGAGGCCATTTTAGAGCCATATTTTACAATTATTGAATTATAGGTAAATTAATTGTAAAATACTAACAAAAAGTGGTGAACGGTGTGATAGGAAACAAACCCCAGAAACGTAGGAAGCAGCTCTCACGGAACGGGAGCTTACGTTTAGCTATTTAGGGAGTACTTCTGCCAAGGTCAACCAAGTAAGTGGCCTTACTATAGGATAGACTAAAGACTGTTTGAATTATTATGATGTGTGTGTATGACATTGTGTTGTGATGTCCGTTAAATGTACGCTATTTTTGTTTCGATGTATGACGTACATGTTATATTTGATGCACTTAATGGCTTTTATGATGAGTATGATGTATGCATGACGATGTTATTAACATGATGATGTTTTCCATGTTGAACATGCCTTATGATGTTGTTTTCCATATTGCATCATGTCGTTAGATCGACATAGGACACAACCTTAAGAGTATGAAAATGATATTAATGTAAATATTCACAAGCACGTGTTACATAGTGTAACCAAGAGATGAGACTAGAGGATTGTGTCAGAAGAGATGTATAATTGAACTTAGAGGGACCTCATGCATATTGTATGTTTATAAGCATAGGGCTACTTCCCCTAGAGATGATGAGTGCGGACGTGTACCGTATGATGAGCGCGAGCGCGAATGCGCACAGGTGCGAAAACACACAGATGATGGTGTTCATGAGGTGCATGACACTATGGGGTTTCGCTGACCTCCAGACGTCGCTATAGATTAACTTGACCAGAGGGTCTAGGAGGTGTGCGAACGCCCTGGGGATTCACACTCGCACGTGTGAGTCGTGTGTAGGGAAGTACTATACATCCAATTTGTCCGAGACTGGAGGCCACCCTTAAGATGATTAGAGATAGATCTCTAATTCATGATTGCATGTGTTTGCATTAGCATGGCCCTATAGTGGGGTCACTTACTGAGTATTTCCAGGCCGTGTGTCATATTATTTTTTTCAGGTAAAGGCAAGAAGCCCATGTACGGTTGACAGCGGCATCGTGATCAGAGACTGTGGCGCGTGCATAGGATATTTGCATATTTAAAATTCCTAGTGTTGGTTAGGATAGGGCGTTTGCATTTCACTCATTTAAATTATTTAATTTGTAATTGTTTTTATCTTATTTTGAACTCCAGCATGATGTTTGAAACACGCAAGTCCTGCAGTGTTTTCTAATGTTTGAACGTATTTTGAAGTTTTAAATTTTTCCGCCAACAAAGATGAGCATTCTTAGATTTATATTCTGCATTAGAGATGAGCATGAGACGTTAGTGGCGACTCTAGATATGTGGAAATTTAGGGTTGTTACAATCAAACTGTGGAATCTTGGTGAGTGTTTCGTCGTTGCACATTTTTTCTCTTGGATCACTTTGTTTTGCTTTGGCTATGATACCAAATGATAGCGGTAAATTTCAGACTTAGGCAAATGTACCAAAAATTATCGTTCTTTATTCATAGGGTACAATGCTTTTTATATAAAAATACATTAAATGAAGAAAACACAAAAAAGGACCGGACTCAACTGACTCTACTAATAACAAGAAAAAAATAGCTAACAGAAATTTGAACAAAATTTACTTCTATTACATGTATTCCTGAAATGTGAAATATTGAGGATTTTGTATGGGTTAAGTCGAGTTAGAAAAATCTATTGGATAAACCTAAAATCTTGGATTGATTGGGTGAAGGGAATAAACTTTTCATCTACGTAGCGGAAGCATTGGAACGTTTTGATTTTTATTATGAATTAACAAAAACAATAAATACGAAAATAAGAACTCTACCTTCGTAGAAACCCTAGCTTGTAAGACTTTTTGAAGTAGTCCAACCATGCAAACCTTCTTCATATCCCACAAGTTCTTCCTTGCTACGATTCGAACTCAAAGACAAGGTTTGTGGGAGCCTCTTAAAGAAAATCTCTTTGGAGAAGAAGAGTTTCCATAATTCTGTGGAGATGTAATTTCCTTCTCCAGAGAAGATGAGAGAGATTGGTATGTTTTGGCTCAACCTGAGATCATATTCATAGGGACTCTTAAACAATTTTTGCCAAATAATATATTTGCATATTTAATATATTATGATACAATACCTTATACAAATTCTATTTAAATATTATAAGATATCTTAATATATATTTAATTAATTTGAATGTGATCCAAATTTGAAATATATTTTTATTTAGGATATCAAAATAAATAAATAAATTTAATATTTAATTATATCAAATATAATAAATATATTTTTCTTTTTTAACATAGGTAATATATTAAATATTAATTTAAATATTTCTAATTAATATATTTTTCTTTATTTATATTTAATCTATCTAATATATTAAATATTAATTTGAACCTTCAAATTAAATATATATTTTTTTTAATTTAAAATATCTAGTAATTATATTTAAGTTTGATATTTCAAATTAAATTTATTTTCTCCTTTATATTTAATATATCTAATATATCAACCCTTCAAATTTTCATTTAAATAAATTAAACATTTTAGAGTTACTATAAGTTAGCAATGAGACTTTATAGACCTACCGATTATAAGCTCCAATGATATAAAATTAATTAATTAAACTCTTTAATTAATCAATGTTCATTCATTAACTATAGGTTACTTCAATATAGACCGATAGTTGTACTCTTATGCACTCTAGGACAAGTTATTTCTATTGATATAACTATTACCAGTTGGGTCAAAAGTCCATTTTACCCTTATAATTACATTTTTCACCTTTAAGTACCAGTGATTCTCTAATGAACATTTTGTTTATGACCCAATCGTAAATCAAGTCCCTCTCGGGCCAATGAAAGGGTGGAGCCCCATTGTTAAAGTCTCGAAATCAGTACTGAAGAGAACAACTCATCTACTTTCCTTATATGGAAATGAGTGAATTCCATCTCATGATATATGTTCCCAACTCTCTATTTGGTCAAGTCCTCAAAATGATAGACATATTGAATCGGCTATAGAGCCATTCTCACCTATGTAAATTAAAGGACAAGCCCTCAGAGGCAGGAGTTCATAACTCAATTAGGATTAAGATCGAGTCGCATATGATCATCATGTGAAATATTAATCTTCTCCATTAACGGATTTCTAAAGAGATTAGTCCAATCTTATACAAACTCATTGTATAAGATTCCCCCACTTACATGTCTCTTACATGTCTCCACAAGAACGTTTTGGATTAAACCATTTGTAACGATTACAAAGTGAGTCGTATAAATAGTGTTACCAAGATAAGGCACCCAATCTTTGCGGGTTATATTTATACCCTTAGTTATTACGGTTATAATATGAAAATGATAACTCTTGAAATGCCTCACATAGAACGTCAAAATTTTAAAGTTTAAGGAGCTAACACTTTTTAAAGTATCAACAAAACAGACTATGTGTTTGTTATTCCCACCTTAATAGTATCAATTATTTATAGATTATTGTTTGAACATAATTGCTCATTAAAAATCCATAAATATCAATTAAAATAAAAATGTAAGGAAAAAAAAAGTAAGTATAAATATTGAACATATGGCTGACATTTCTGAATCAGCCCTTTGACTTCCTAGTCTTCTTCTTCCTTCAATTCCCTATCTCTCTCTTCCTCCTCTGTTTCTCTCTGTTTTCCCCATTAACGCCTTCTCAATCTCCTCGGAAACCCCGTCCCACCCAGATTCCTCCACCGCCGCTGATATGTCCAATGGCAGCGGCGAACTGCCTTCTGAGGAACGGTGCTTGGTGGAGGAGGTGGCTCTGGTGGTGCCGGAAACTGACGACCCGACTCTTCCTGTGATGACTTTTCGATCATGGGTTCTTGGTCTCGTTTCTTGTTGCCTTCTCATTTTCCTCAACACTTTCTTCACTTACCGTTCTCAGCCACTCGCCATCTCCGCCATTCTTATGCAGATCGTTGTTCTCCCAATTGGCCGCTTCATGGCCTCCACTCTCCCAAACAGGGACTTCCATTTCTTTCGATGGAAGTTTAGTCTCAATCCTGGCCCTTTCAACATGAAGGAGCATGTTATTATCACCATTTTTGCTAACTGTGGCATCTCCTATGGCGGCGGCGACGCATATTCCATCGGCGCCATTACTGTCATGAAAGCTTATTATAAACAGGGCTTGAATTTCTTCTTAGCCCTTCTCATCGTCTTAACTACCCAGGTTTGCATCTTTATGAATGAAAAGGAGCTAATTCAAAAGTTTTGTCTTTTGAATATCGATTTAAGTAAAAAATAATGAACACCCATTTTCTAAAACATCCAGATTGATAAGATCTAGACCCTTTTCTCACATTCCCCTGTTTCGAATCTTTTTCTCTTTGGCTGTTCTTCAGATCTTAGGATATGGATGGGCTGGAATGCTGAGAAGGTACCTGGTAGATCCTGTTGAAATGTGGTGGCCTGCAAATCTGGCACAGGTTTCTCTGTTTAGGTACCCTTTCTTAATTCCTTTTCCAGATTTGGAGCTCAGAGGCTTAGCAGTATTTAACTCTGACATGCTCTGTTTTCTTTGCCCTGTTTTAGAGCCCTTCATGAGACGGAGGACAGATCAAAAGGGATGACAAGGATGAAATTCTTCTTGATCTTCATGGGAGCAAGCTTCGTGTACTACGTTTTTCCAGGTTACTTGCTACAAATCTTATCATTCTTCTCGTGGGTTTGTTGGGTTTGGCCTCGCAGCATCACGGCTCAGCAAATTGGGTCGAGCCAAAGTGGACTTGGGCTCGGCGCTTTCAGCTTTGATTGGGCTGGGATTTCGGCCTACCATGGAAGCCCACTGGTGTCGCCATGGTCCTCAATTCTAAACGTGGGTGTTGGGTTTGTTATGTTCATTTATATCGTCCTCCCTGTTTGCTACTGGAAGTTCAACACCTTCGACGCCCACAAATTCCCCATTTTCTCTAATAAGCTCTTCACCAGAACAGGCCAGAAATATGATACTACCAAGGTTTTAACTCCCGAATTTGAACTTAATGTTGGTGCTTATAATAACTACGGGAAGCTCTATCTTAGCCCCTTGTTTGCCCTCTCCATTGGATCTGGCTTTGCCAGGTTTACTGCTACTCTTACACATGTCGCATTGTTTCATGGCCGGTATGCTTTTCTCTCTCACTTTTTCTTCTTCTCTTTCCTTCCGCTCTACATTTTATTTCCTCCTCCCATACCTTCTTGTTTCTTGTTTTAGGTCAAGTATTTCTAATTCTTTCAAAAGTTCCCATGTAACTCCGTGTCAAATCAACCCATATTTGTTCACACATCAAGTCGTGTTTAATCACAATTAAGTTTAGAGACTAGAGATCGAATACATATATCACTATAGTTATAAACCAAGTTTAAGATTGTGCACTTTTAATGTTCTAGGGACATATGGAAGCAGAGCAGGACAGCAATCAAGAATGCAAAAGTGGACATCCATGCCAAACTGATGCAAAGCTACAAACAAGTGCCAGAATGGTGGTTCTTGATCCTATTATTTGGTAGCACTGTGATATCTCTTCTGATGTCGATTGTGTGGAAGGACATCGTGCAGCTGCCGTGGTGGGGCATGCTATTTGCCTTCGCTATGGCTTGGATTGTCACCCTCCCAATCGGGGTCATTCAAGCGACAACCAACCAGGTAATCGAACGGGAATTAGTAGTAGTAGCACTCCCTCGTCTTTGTTTACGTTCTAAAGCAAAAGACTTATATCTATATGGAATGTTATGCAGCAACCTGGATATGATATCATAGCACAGTTAATCATTGGTTATATTCTCCCTGGAAAACCAATAGCAAATCTACTTTTCAAGATCTACGGAAGAATCAGCACAGTTCATGCTCTTTCTTTCTTATCTGACCTTAAACTTGGCCATTACATGAAAATCCCACCAAGATGCATGTACACTGCCCAGGTGATCTTTTAAAAACTTCAATGTTTCTTTTGAGAGTATATGATCTTGACTGATTCGTGTTTTTTCAGTTAGTCGGGACACTCGTTGCCGGGACGATTAACCTCGTCGTTGCTTGGTGGATGTTAGACAATATAGAGAACATCTGTGATACTGAGGCTCTCCAACCTGATAGTCCATGGACGTGTCCGAAATACCGAGTGACGTTTGATGCATCTGTTATCTGGGGACTAATAGGACCGAGGCGATTGTTTGGACCGGGCGGGTTGTATCGAA